TGTATAGCCTGTTGCCCAGGCTACTTTAGGTAGTGTTCTTCCAGAAGAGTAGTAGTCATTCATTCAGAAATACCCTAATTGACAGGTCAAAGAAATGGCAGAGGGATTACAAGGAGAATCAGGAGAGCTCCTCCTCATTCCAGCCCTTTGTATGTACCTTATGAGGTAAAGGGTGAAGGGAGAGGATGCAATCAGTGCTGCAAGGAAATATCAGTGTTGGCAGGAAGTGGCTGTGGCTGTTTCAGTCTATGCATCTAGGCTGTACCAATGGCTTGTTTCTGAGGTTGAAAGATGAAATAGGCAGAATTCTTGTCAATTTCACTTCATCTGTCCTATATCCCAAATCAGGAAGTGCTACAAGAAAATGGCAGTGCTAGCAGTGAGTGCCTGCCACTGGCAGTACCTGAGAGTAGCCCATGAAGTACACAAAATGGCATTGGAGTAGGCAAAGCAACACACAATAATACCATTAGAAAGTGCATTCATGTAAAATCCCTTGTCATCCAAAGGAGCAGAAATGCACTCATTTATAACAGAACCAGCAATAAACAGCTGGCAGAACTCCCTTTGCCAACTTAAATCAGAACACCAGTCTTTTTTTAAAGTCAGTCATTGGTTTTTACAGACTTCTCTTTCAAAAGACTGCTAAACATGGTTAAAAACAGGCCTAGCACTGTTCCAGAAGAGTGCTAAACCTGTGTATGTATATAAGCACCCTGCAGGCCAGATGCCTTGGTGGGAGAGAGGTGTTTGGTTTCTTTAGCAGCCTAAGTCAAAATGGACATAGGAGGTAGTGCTCAGCAACTGGAGGGGAGGAGCATACCCACCACAGCCTAAAGAAGCAATTAAGTATTTGGCAGATGCTAGCCTCTGACCACATCATCACCAACATAATCAACGAGGCATCACAGATCATTCATACAGCAATGCTTGTTGGGAGAACAGAGAAACCAATATTTTAACATTAGAATACACTTTAAGCTTATTGCATGTTTTCAGAAAACTAACAAGGCATATTTGTGCCATGGGTAAGTACATAACATACTACAAAGAGTAAGAGTCTGTTAAAAGTTTAACTCTTTCAGTAGTAAGCTTGACTGACCACACACACTTTCCTTAAAAAGGTGGTGTGAGAAAGGGCTCTGCGTGCTTACCATTTTCCATGGTTTTCGTCCTTTTGCAAATCATTCCAATTACTACATAAAGCGCAGTCCATTCTCCTTAGCAGATGAGAATAGTATCAGCCTCGTTCAGTGATGCTTTTGCATCCTTCCTTATCTTAATCCAAAACCCCAAAGGCAAACTTACATAAATAAGTCTAGACTTTGTTGAGTCTGTAGTCCAAGACTGGAATATATAAACTCCCCTAGGCTACACGCAACCATGAAATCTCTAATTCAGCCCATGTGGCCTTCTTTGACCACACAACAAAATACAGCAGTACAATAATCAAAAATGGGCAGAATGGTTTTCTACCACTTGTAAGTAGAAAAGAGTGAATAGTACAGGATCTGTCCCCAAATAGGCTTAAAACAATTTTAAAAATAAAGAAAAAAAGTTAGCCTCTCCAAAATCAATAAGAAACATGTCATGGAGATATTTTATAATGACACTTGGCTTGTAAAACTGCATTTTCTTTTCGTACCTAAAAAGCGCTCTCTAAATGACTATTTTTTTCACCTTTCCCTTCTTATTGGGGTTTCCAAAGGTTGCTCAGTTGTCTTGGATTGAAAAAAAAGTAGCCGCTGCTCTTTTTGGGACTCCGCCAACTTCAACAATACATGAGGCTTTGCAGAATTTTCTGAAGGTAGATACAATATTCTCTCTTCTCTCTGGCTGCCAACTGGCTGGCATTCAAGAAATTTGTTCAACAAATGGTTCTCAGCAGCTATAAATTCAACACTCTTCAAAATATTTTTCAGACAATATCTTTAGAAGAGTGACCACTCCTGTTCACTTAAACTAAATTTCAGGAGTCTGCTGTGTCCCTCTTTTTTGCAATTAAATATTCAGCCTTTTGATTTCATCTATAGAGGTGTTTATGAGCATCTCCTGTGAGAATGGCACCTATTGTCATCTTTGACTAGTTAAAGATGATACAGGATGTTTGAGCAATTTAATAATTGCTGCATAGCATAGATGCCCTAAAGAAGTTAGAGCTTTCTCCCCCTTCTCTTCTTCTCCTCTGTTTACTCCCTCTTTTCTCTTTGTTACTTCTTTCTTTTTTTTTGGTTCATCCTGTAGTGCACTTAAGAAGCAGAAATAATGGGTCAGGTCTAGATTTCAGAACAGCTTCCACATTCTTGTCTCCCCACGGCATTCCCTCCAGTCTCCTGAAAATGATACAGAAGTAGTTCAGCAGCCCCTGCTAAATGACTTTGGTAAGGAGGGGTATGAAGACCATGGGAGTAGAGTAGGCCATGCAAAGTGATTTTAGCTGTTCTCGGGAGATCCTTCCACTTCCCATCCTTCCACAACCTGGCCCTTTGTGTACTGTTTCAACAGTTGGGGGGAACTGAGCAGGTGTCAAATCTGTTTCTGCTCACCTAGTTGGCTGTAATTGTTCAGTAACCTAATGGTAGATTGGCTGCGGCTAACAGCAGATGAAGTCTCAAACGTGGGGGGCACAAGGTTGCCTACCTTACTGAAATGTCTAGTTGTTACTTACCCTAGTTACAATCTCTGGCTGTTGCTGGCTTCAATCTTGCCACCCTATGGATGCCTGCAACCTTACTGTTTCTGGCTAGGTTTTGTGGAGATTCATTTGTTTTGTAAAAATCATGTCATTGACGTGCTAGAGCATTTGCACACGAGGCTTTGGCACCACTCCTGGATTGGTGCCATGTGTCTATGATCCCTTGCCCTGCTGAGTGGCTGAGCTGATTGACTTCTGTGGGGCATCACGAATCACCCAACTTCTGGTGATTTCCAGATCTCAGCATAGGAACTCCACTGAAGCTTGGGGGCAGGTTGTTTCTCACTGGTGGGAATTCCTGCCTTTAAGATCCTTGGCCCTCTTCCTTCCCTGCATTTGGGAGGCAACATAATTCCAAAGCACCCCACTTGGACAGAAGGTTGGCTTTGTAGCTCCCTCTAGCAGTACCTTTTAAAATTGTTCCCTGTAAAAACAAATGTAGCAAAGTAACAACAGGCATGAGAACATAGTGCTGTTCTAGCTGGCTGTCAATGTTTATGTTCAACTATTAGCAGCTCGAGGGAGAATTGTTCAGGTTCTGGAAGTGCTGACTGGCATTGTGAGGACATTTGGGCAGTACAAAATACTTCGTAGGTTTGGGGCATGAAAGCAATAGTTATATGGAAGTGTGCCTAGTCTTGCCGTGGCATTCTCATCTTTCTATCTTTTGTCATTATACTCAGGCTGAAGAAATACATCCCCGATATTCTAAATACAACTATGTCTATTTGGCAAAGGTAGGAGGCATCACTGTTTTCTCCACTTTACTTTTTCTTTTCTTCTTTTTCTTTTTTGAATAAGAAACACATTTCTGGTTACTAACTACCTGTTGTAATTTTTCTGTTTTTTGTGCTTGTCCTTCATTCTCCATAAGTGCTACAAAGATTTGGGCCAGAGGAGCAATGCTCTGAGGTGCTGTGAGACAGCCTTGTCCATTCTGCCAGTCACCAAAGAGGTGGGTCTGAAGGTTGTGTGTTCATCTTCCGATGGAGGAGCTGTGCGAAAAGGTTTTCTTCTGCAGCCACTTTTCACACTGTCCCCGTAACATGTGGAAGCATAAATATACCAGGAGGCTGTAAGTTCTAGGCCCGCCTCAGGCACGAGAGCCGGCGGGGTGACTTTGGGCCAGTCTCTCTCCCTCAGCCCAACCCACCTCACAGGGTTGTTGTTGTGGGGAAAAGAGGAGGCAGGAATAATAGGTATGTTCACTGATGGATGAGTGGGTGGATGGATAGATGATAGGTGGGATAAAAATATAATAATAATAATAATAATAATAATAATAATAATAATAATAATAATAATAATAATAATATTGCCCAATCTTGAATATATTTTCGTTCCGTGTCAGTGGGATGTGGGAACAGGGATGGAAGGAATGGGATACACGTGGTACGCTGTCTGTCTTCTGCAGCTCTCATTAATTTCAGCCAAGATGCAGAGAAGAACTTCCTGGAGAACTGAGTCTTTATTACTATAGAGGAAGATCTAGAAATGAAAGGAAGGCAAGTCATGTGTCACAGTTTTGCAAAATATGGTATAAGAAAACAAAGGAACTTGTGATGTCCCTGACTGCAGTGTTGAAAATCTGTAAAATCTGATATTATGAAATTATATTTAAGCAGATGACTACTGTCACGGGGCTAATGTTTATTATGAACTGGGCAATTTGCAGTGCAGCTAGTCACTCTGATTGCTGTTGTCTGATTTGGAAATTATTGTGGTCTGATTTGGAAATCCCTCTTCAGGGGAAAATGGCCATTTATCTGCTGCCTTGCTTAACCCTATCAAGCCCACAGATTCACTATGCTGAAAGTGCTGCAAGTGACTTTAAAAATAAGGGGGAAATGAATCAGAGAAATCATCTCTCATTATGATTTGACTTATCTAGAGTTTTTAACTATGCAGTTGTGCAGTATATGTTTGTGCAATGACGGCAGAAATTGGGAATGGATGCCATACATCCCTTCCCATTACTGATACATTTTTGCCTGGCTAGTTTTATTGTCTAATTGCAACTGCCTGTCTAGCTTTTCCTTGAAGATGTGAAGTTTCAAAACCTGCCTACGATAGAAATAACCTTTAGTGTTCAGCCTATCCTTGGGAGGTGACAACACTTGGGCCTTCTCCTTAGACTAAAGCTAAGCAGGATCATTCTTGTGTAAGGCTTAGAT